GCTGTAAAAACGTCGCATGCTGAAGGCATTCAGAATTGCCGGATATGATAGATTGGCCATGCACAACCTATACCGAGTTATCCCCTATCGATACGTGTGCCGTTTCCTATATTCAACGCGAAAATGCAAAAGTCTGGAGGGAGGTTAATGATTCTCAGGGGCGAGATGGCTCAATTGGTTAAAGCGAATTTACTGATCGGAAGATCCGTGGTTCAAACGTGACCTCTGCTTCTCGACTTCCCCTGTCTAGGCTTGGGCAACCTGACAGTATCCCAGCTATAATGCTTCCTTCGGGTGGCCTGGCAGCTAGGCGCCGGAAGGGTGTTACAGCTGAACTATTTTATTATTTTTATCAAGAAAGAGTGTGGTTGTCATGGAGCAATTGGACGCTGCTGATTTTCACGCCCTTTAGGATACGGCCAAGTTTCTCCTAATTGTGCAGGAAAAATGAGGCACATAGCGGTCAACAAATGTCGGTTGCATTATTCCAGATAGCCGAGTAGGTTATACAGATGTACTCGCTTGGAGGGGGTAGTTATGCTGAACCTAAGTTTAATTTATATCCATTTTTCAACAACAAACCGTGTCAAGGCGCAATAGGTTGTGTTATCGCTGTTTTTCATTATGGATGAGGAAATTATTGGATTGGAAGCTACACGTTGGAGGTGCTGGTCCAGTCAGTTCAATAACACTAAATGGCTTGCGCTGTCCGATATATAAAGTGAGACTCAGGCTACATATTGAAAACGACGGCGTTGATGCACGATGGACACTGGCTACTTTATATACCAGCATCCTAAGGTACTGTTATATCTCGCCTTTCCAGAAGAGGGTTTCAGTTATTAACGTCACTGAGGTGACGGATAATAGTTTTTCACCATTGTCACCAGCCCTGCACTGACTGCCTGTTACTCGTCTCCCTTCTATACAAACCTAAACAAGGATGTCTCTACGGGGCGAGCGGTCTTCTGACACACGGAGTGCATGGTCTAATCAGTATAAACTGTAGGACGTGACCGGCTCAACGATTGTGGCAGAGTGAGATTTTTCGGAAACTATCAAAAGTGTCCAATATCCAAAAAGTGTCTCGGAGACCATGACGGTTAAACTCCAGCCCGTCAGTTGTGTAAAGATCCAGAAAATCTCGTAAATTTACGGGCAAGTATCTAAATCCGTGACATTAAGGTCTCAATGCGGTAAAAGTTAAGGGGGTAATGGAAGCAATAAAACGGACCCTCTTGAAAACTACGGCAAAATTTTCCCCATCCATCTTAACAAATTGTGGCTGCATATTAACTCTAATCCCCAGAAAACTAGATAGCGTGCTGCTGTCCCCTCTTGCGACCTCAAGACTTCGAGCTTGAGTGCCAAAGAGGACGCACAAAACGGCGTGTTGTAGACAAACGATATGCGTACAATACTCCTCACACATCTGCAACTGTATCTTATTTACCGAGGTGTCAGGGTTGTCCACTTCACTTATAGCACACCAAGGAGTAGCATGCCGACGTACGCTAATATTAACCTGTGTGAGTTAAAAGGAGCAAATTGGCAGGCGAAGAAGCTTGGTCGGTCCATTGGATTTGCATCGCCTCTCGGCAATTTTTTTCCTCATATCTTATTTGTTCATGAGTTTTAGCATCAGACCTTGTTACCACGTGCGTTTGTTAAACAGCGGCAGACTTTGTGACGGGCGCCTCAAATCATTAGGGCTTGCGACTGACATCCGCGTAGTCACTGGAGGTCCGATATGTCTTATTTGTATGTCCGGTGATTTTGTCAGATGATTTCTACAATGCGATCAAACTAACATTTAACTGAAGTGTTGATGGGATATTTTCACTGGAAATCTCCCGTCACATTTTATCTCAAACGCACACCTGGTGTAGTTAAATTCCGTGGATTAAGATTGATCACTAGAGTAGACTAAAAACGAAGACCAAGAATCGAGACCTGGGGAAATCTACTTAGTGCTTCTTCCTATACGAGAATGCTGTCACCAACTTTTACCCCCAGTACCTTTTCTACAACAAATTCCTCTACTCATGACGGGGGGCTGTACTCTATTTTTTTAGTCACGCGGTGTTTTAGCAAAATGTGACGGTTGTCTAGGCCTCCAAAATATTTTCCTCAGTGCAACTAGCACGTTATTTCCTCTGCAATAGGATGCTGAAGCAAGATTTGCGTCACATTAGTGATGGTAGCTATCGTGAAATAACGTGTTGTCCAGTCTTTTGCCACGAAGTTTTCTGCGAGGTGACTTTATCCCGAGCCAAGCCAAAACTCAATACTGTCTCTGTGAAGTCTTCTCAAACTGCATAGGTTTTAATCCTGAGTTAATGAGTCAAAGTCTCAATGGGTTCACCAAGTGTTTTGCAGTCGTATGGCCACCAGTTTCTAAGACGTCCGGACATAAACCATCTGGACATCACTTCTACATACACCGGGCCACTTGTGTGTGATTTAAAGTGGCGTCTACCAAAAATGCTCCTAAAATGCCACCAAATAGGAGCAGTTTGCCAAGAGCTTTATTTTTTGGTCGATTATTATCGGCCCCGCCACAAGAACGTCAAACAATACGTGACTCTGCTTGATAAAGTGACAATTCACGTACAAATAAAGTTTGCCTTTGTGGCAGATTGTGCCTGCCTAAGATACTTATTTATGCAACCGTTTTTTGTTTTTGCAACTGCTGTTTCTGTCTGGCATGACTCGTGCCGTTTGTGAACGTGTTTTAAAGCTGGCTTCTTGGACCAATTCGGTCTCCAAAACGGTCCAAGATGGACTCCGGAACAACTTTAACGATCAAGATTGAAAAAAATAAAATTTATGCCATTGTTATAAACTGGTTTTACGATACCTCACGCCGGTTTTCTCCGAGAGGACAAATGTAGCCACTATAAACACGAGTAGCAACAAGGATGACAATCTTGTTACAAGGGAGAACGTTACAAACCTTTAGACCTCTCCGTACAACAGCGAAATAAATCTTGCATTTAAAGAAGTAAAATTAGGGTTAGGCTCCGGTGCCCTTTCACAGCCTCATCATCATCGACAGCATAGCACCAGTGTTCAACACCGATGCTTCGCCGCCGCATTACCATGATTTATTTGAAGGCCTTATTGTGAAAAAGGAATAAAGGTGGATGGGGAAGGGAGTTGGTGATAGCTTTCTGCACTTATTCCGGGGAGCCTAAACCTCCAGACACTCGCCCAGGCAATCTGGATAGGGACTGTCATCAAGATTTCCACTGAAATCGCTTGGCAGGCATGTCTTGCAGCGCCTCTAACTAGGCGCAGTGAGGATCACGCGGTCCCCATCCTGGAAGGCGGGTAGCACCGACACCAGCCAACCATTTCGTGATTTCTTTCATACCCTTCTGTCGAGGCTTCAAGACTGCTTTTGGGATACCTGAGAATGTCGGCACCATGTGATGAGCAGATGCCGCACGCAAAACTGATGCAAAACAAACGGAATCATCAGTTTTAAGAGCTGAGCCTACAAGGGGGGAACTATTAATGGGTTGAGGAGAGGGGAAGAAAACGTATGTGAAAGAGGAAGAAGGGAGGCGTCAGAAGTAGTGTTTTCGCTTACCACCCTGCCGTATGCAGCGAGTAAGACGACTCGGTTGACACGCGTGACAAGCAGGTAAAATCTCGAAATATGACGGATTGGAATACTGCCAAAATCGGTAGAATTTCAAGAGGTGCGACAGCGGTCCACAACCGGAGTCTGACACAGGCAATTCAATGCAACGTTGTAAAAAAATTGAAAGCCTGCCTGACCAACAAAAGGCAACAGGTCCTATTGGCCTGTGCAAATGTGGTCTCGGAACGCGTAACCCAATCAGCATGGAACGCCGAACGAGGTAGGAATCCCGCTGTGCTCTATACGAAAACTTGGAACCCGACAATAGCACTTCGAGCTTATTACCAACACTGAAGTCCGTTCTGTAGGTCCCGGTACAGTAGTTAGTTGGTCAAGCTTCTCACAAATACCAGTCGATTTCACGGACGTGGTGGAAGATGCGGTGTGGTTTTCACTAAAATGGTCAATCCCAGCAAAGAAGTCCAAGCGTGTGTCGGTTGTCAACTGAGAAAATGGCAGAATGGAACAGCACCTGGATGTTCGTAACCCAAGCTAAATCAATTAAGCCTTTTAAAACACGTTTCAGAACACGTTTTGCACCGCTTCGTCAGTACTTTTCATCCGTGACCGCTATTGACAATGAAAAAAAGAATAAAAACGTCTCTAGTGGTAAAGTGGGACGAACAAGGCAACTGCTACTCACTGTCGGTGCTAAGATAGCCGATGATTAAAATCAAGACCTTTGGGTATGACACGAGATTCAATGGTAACAAAACCCGGTAGTTAGTTTAAATCCGAAAAGGCATTAGGTAAGCTGAGCTGAGGCGTGCCTTTTATCGCCACTTCCCGCAACAGCGTTCAAACGTTTCGCCGAGGGTGCCGTTTACCGCACCTTACACAGTAAATGCATGTAAACCATAATTTCATGGGCTGCACTTACCTTCTAGCTGCTACATACCCGTGTCCGCCACGGTAACATGCGCCCATCGCGCCAGCACTTCGACCAGGGCGCCCCACACAGTTGTCGCGCGACCTTGAGAGTAACCTTCACGGATTCAAGGATCAAGGCTTCCACTCTATTTTCGCGGGTGGGTTTTGTTCTTGTCGTTTAGCGAGTGTTGTTCACATAAAAAGCGCAAACAAAAGGTAGTGAGGCAGTGCTCTTTAAGTCCTCAGAGTGGACCAGTAAGCTTACCAGTGCCAGAACTCATGGTGCAGTGAGAAGAACACGTTTGAAGAGAGCCCGAATCCCTTTCGGCGTTTATCCTCGTGATGATTTTTGGCCCATTCTCACTATTAACGACGAAGTTATCCTCTCCGAAGGACATACGGACGCATTCATCGTCATTTAGAGGAAGATACCAATCCAAAGACCATTGTTCCGCAGCGCACACATCTATTTGGAGGGCGCTGGCATTTGAACTCCAGGATTCCACTTCGTCCGCAAAAAGTAGACATGGTCTTGAAAGAACATCTGGGGGGTCGTTGATGTAGATCGGAAAAAGCAGTAGCTCATTAACGGAGCCACGAGGAAATCCAATAAGTACTGGCATCGGATGATTGTAGGTCAAGTCCAGTTTTGTTTGGAATTTTCTGTCTGACTGGTACACCCTGATCTGGTGTAGAGTATTGTTCTGCATCGATAAGACTAGATTTTGTGAAGCAGTGGGTCGTGTGGAACCCCATCAATTGCTTTTAGGAGGTTGAAGACGCCGAACACTTCGTTACGGCTACCCGGTTTAAGCTTGGATGGTGCATGCAAGCTCACGAAAAACGGCCGAGAAATCCTATTTATGGTATCACGGCACCAGTGCGAAGGTAATATTGCGCACGCTCAACAGACCCAAACAGATTCTTCTTTGCAGATACCGTGAAAGTTACAAAACAGGGCCGTCCTACTGAGAGCCCGAGGATAGAATCGCAGTTCGCTTCGCCACAAAACTGATATCGTCGCAGGCAAACAAGTATCGACAACGGCAACCACAGAACACAGTGTCCAACCAAAATCCGTCAAAGTTACAAAAATAATTCAATAAAATTAGAGGGTTTTCAGTCCCTCAGATCAGGACTGTTGTGCTAATTAACTGCCACATATGGTGGAGAACGAGGGCACATTTTTTCGTATGCTGTATTCTACGCCATTCCTTGAGGCTTTTGGCCCATCCGAATGCGTGCTGGTCTTTTGGGTAAAAGACCACGTCAGCCATGTGTACTCTCTGGACAACGGTCCTGTATAACTCTTCCCCTGAGGCTAGTCCCAGTCGCGGTCTTTGCAAGAGAGATGCGCATTCCTCTGTTGCCTGCCCGGCAATTATATCAAGTCAACTTACTTTGGGTTTTCCGGCGCATCGGCGTGTGAAATAAATCCTCAGCACACAATATCCTCTCTATCCGAGCGGAGCGTTTATTCGCATCTCGTCAACGATGTGTCTTTCGTTGATGATGATGAAATCCAGGAGAGTTGATAGTTGTTCTGCAGGGTATCCGGGGATGCGAGGACATGGTGAGTCCCTATGCTTTGTTAAACGAGTTTGATCAGCGATACTGCAAAACCTTAAGTAGACCCGACGCGTCGTATCTGAAAGAAGAGTCTTTACGGTGGTTAAATAACCTACCAGGAAGAGTTGTGTGACGAAGTAGCTGGGGCACCGTTGTTCAAAATTTGTATGAGAAATTAATCATGTTCTGGAATGTTTGGGCAGTAATGGTAAGCCACTTCGAGAATAAGCGAATCGGGGGGTCCGGTTCTGATAGAACGCAGATAGAATCTGGCAGTTTCACGTCCTCAAGGGCACTCTTCAGTGTGGAAGTAGACGCTCGTGGGTGGGACCTGCGTGAAGAATTCGGTACTTCTATGATATTGTCTGCTGCGGAGGTAAGCGAAGACAATGCTACACGTTTTGAACGCCCCGTACACGTTAGTCTGGCCCGTTTCCGGGCGCCGCTGCATTTTCATTCAAGGGTTCCGCGATGGTTGATTGTAGACTGCAATCAAATGTCGCATTTGGTCGCCCTGCCGTGCTTTCAAGAGCCCGAAGGGATGTAAATTTGACTGGGTTGGACCCTAGTTTGAGGTCAGGTGAGTTAAATCCAAGCAGGAGTCTGTTACGTGCCTCTCTCTGCCTGCTATGGTCACGAGTTTGCGCGGGTAAAGAGCAATCTTCGGAAGAATATTTGATTGTTGAATAATCCTTCTGTGTTTTGCTGGCCAACATCGTCTTATTCTCTATGACGGAAAAAGGGTAAGTAGAAGCATAAATATTTGGCGGCTTCTCATCATGCGTAACTGCCCTATGCAGACTTTGTTAAGCCACCGCCAAAAAGCCATGGTATTAGTTTTTTGGCGTGATTTTTCGTGACAACGTCGGCAGAATGAGCAGCAGGTTTTTGTTAAAAGAGCCGGTAAATATATAGCGAGCCCAATAACACACTAAACCGGATCAAAAACAGATGAATTGCGTCATGTATAACACATATGCCTGATTATCCTGGAGAATGGTCCCAAGTGAAGATACTTCATGCTCCTGTCGGTTTGAACGCCGTGGGGTTCTTGACAGCCGCGTCAGAGAGCTGATTGTCCTTCGCAGCCAGCGGAGTCGGGATGGCTAGCAATGAATTCCCGTTCAGGGAAAAGGATTTATTAGTTAGTTCCGTCCAAGCGACTGTATTTTTTTGTTTGTGTCCTTGAGAGCTTTGTGAAAAAGGTTCCGATTTTGCGTCTAGTGTTCCAATCCGTCTCACGATTGAGAATCTGTGCACCGCGAGAACTGAGTACAAGCTGATAGTTGACCACAGGGGACACAGAAGAT